ACAGAATTACAAAGAGAGGTAGAGAGAGAGAGAGAGAGAGAGAGAGAAGAGAGAGACAATCTTCCATCTGCTGGTTCACTCCCAAATGGTCACAATGACCAGGGCTGGGCCAGGCTGAAGCCAGGAGCCAGGAGCTTCTTCTGGGCCTCCCATGTGAGTGCAGGGCCTCAAGGACTTGAGACATCTGCTGCTGCTTTTCCCAGGTGCATCAGCAGGGAGCTGGATGGGCAGTGGAGCAGCTGGAACTCAAACCAGCAGCGCCCAATTGGGATGCCAGCACTGCAGGCAGCAGTTTAACCTTCTATGCCACAGTGCAGGCCCCCTGAACACCCACTTTGGAAGTGATGTTTTTATGTGGATATTTCTCCCTTTACTCAGCTCTTGATGAATGCTGCTTGGTGTAGTGCAAACAACCTGTGGGAAAACAGACTACCTCTTTTCTTCCAATAAGTACTTACTTAAAAATGAGTTAATGCTTCAAGGCTATCATGTGGTGTATGCTATGTTAGGATAACTGAACCAATAATACCTGTCCTGGAAGATCAGAACTGACTAACCTGTAACACAAGCACTGTGCAGGAACTTATTTTATGGTTCTCATACACTAATTCATCTATTGATGCCCAATATTTTCAGTTGTATGAATGGGATGAGCTTATATTTGAATTCCCTGAAGATGGTTTGTGAATTTAATGTGTGGGATATACTGAGAATTAGAAAAAGTCTCTTTGGGAGGAAAGGGAATACAGGGGAATACAGGTTAAAAGGGTCTACTTGACTGTGTTTGAGAACTACTGGCTGAATACCTCTTGCAGTAGACACTAACTACACCCACCTTATTTTGTACCTACACATCCACACTGACAGTTCCCAAGAGTTTATTCAGCCCTTTCAAAGAAATAAACAAAATAGATCAACTTTATTCATATGATTTTATTTTCTCCCTTCAACCATAATGATATGATATCCAAATTTTGTCTTAACTGGTGGGTCTGTGAACACAGGCTTATCCATCCCACTCACAGGCAAGGCAAATGCTGCTTCTTGAAATGGTCCCACCATGGACCCTCTGGTCATCCAACCCAAGTCGCCCTGAAAAACCCAAAAGACAGGTGATATCAAGTGACCCTGATGAGGGAACAGTCTGTAGCTTGAGAGAATTTCCCAGTGTGAATGCTAGGGTCACTTAGTTTACTCGTTTGGGCTATACAGAAATACAGAAGTCTTAGCCTAGACTGAACACATCAGCACTCACAGCACTGGACTTTGAAGTCAGCTGTGCAAGTTTGGTCATGCCTAGGTTGAGACATATGTCACTGTCATTCAACTGTTCACAAGTGGGACATTTCTGCTTTTAAGATCTTTAAGCCGAAGTGTGACTAAAACTAATGGTAGAATAGAGAGACATCTGTTTTTGTGTTTACTCTGTGGAAGACAGTAAATTTTAAATAACAGCAACATACCCCTTGCCTGGCTTTATCTTCACTATATTGTGCGGCCACTTCACTGAATTTCATTCCAGACTTTAATTTTTCCATGGCTTCCATGATTTTGCCATGCTTTTCACACAGAATGTGTCTGACCTATGGGGAGAAAAGTATGTTCATATCATAGCAAGAGACCCAAATGATTCCTCGCAGTTCACCAGTCACATCCAGATTACCCTCATATGTAATCAAACACATGAGCTTGTGGCAACTGAAAATCCTGGAAGTATGCCCAGTTGGGTGATAGCAACAAACCCATTTCCTGTACCCAGACAACATCTCAGAACCTGATTCAGATGATAACAGGTACCATCTTTTACCATGTTCCTCAGTGGTAAACAGGAAGAGACAGGAGAATGGTTTGGAACCTGGGTTCTGAAGTCAAATTCCAACTCTGCTGTAAGATCACAGGATGTTTTGAAACCTCCAAGTATTTCCCCTTTGTGCTCTAAGATAGTAAGAGTACATATGTGGTCTCCTAGGATTATGGAGTCTGAGACAATGCAGCAAACACTATTTCATCAGAGCAAGGAGGATGAGTGTTTACAGTAGAAAATATTTTTTTACCAGAAAGTCCTGATGCATAGAGCTCCCTATGACAAAACACTGTGAAAAAGGATCATATGTTAAATATTAAGAATATTCAACCCTGGGACTGGTGCTGTGGCACGATAGGTAGGTTGATTCTCTGCCTGCGGTGCTGGCATCCGATATGGGCGCCGGTTCTAGTCCTGGCTGCTCCTCTTCCAATCCAGCTCTCTGCTGTGGCCTGGGAAAGCAGTAGAAGATAACCCAGGTCCTTGGGCCCCTGCACCCACATGGGAGACCAAGAGGAAGCACCTGGCTCCTGGCTTCAGATCTGCGCAGCTCCGGCCGTTGCTGCCATTTGGGGAGTGAACCAGTGGACAGAGGACCTTTTTCTCTGTTTCTCCCTCTCACTGTCTGTAACTCTACCTCTCAAATAAAAATCTTTAAAAAAAAAAAAAAGAATATTCTGAGATCCCAGCAGAAAGAACGGGCCATCAAAGAAGGAGGTACCTTTCTCTGAAGGGAGAACTTCCACTTTGACTATGACCTTGTCTAAATATGATCAGAGTTGGCGAACTCAAGAGGCTTCCATAGCCTTGGCAGCTCATGACCAGAGCCTTGGGTGATTAGTGATGCCATAAATAAGAGTGTCAATTGTTAAGTCAACAACAGGAGTCACTGTGCACCTGCTCCCCATATAGGATCTCTGTCCTTAATGTGTTGTACTATGTGAATTAACAGTATAACTAGTACTCAAACAGTACTTTATACTTTGTGTTTCTGTGTGGCTGCAAACTGTTGAAATCTTTACTTAATATACACTAAATTGATCTTCTGTATATAAAGATAATTGAAAATGAATCTTGATGTGAATGGGATGGGAGAGGAAGCGGGAGATAGGAGGGTTACAGGTGGGAGGGAGGTTATGGGGGGAAAAGCCGCTATAATCCACAAGTTGTACTTTGGAAATTTATATTTATTAGATAATAGTTAAAAAAAAGAATATTCAATCCTAGAAAAGTATTCAAATTTGATTCAGTTTACATACAGCTATGGTTTCGAAAAACCCTTATATGCTTAAAAATGATTTTGTCAAGGTAACTGCTTTGCAGGATTTCCCATTTCTCATTCAAATAGAATACACTGCGGTAGGGGCTGAAGGTGTCATAGAGACAAATAACCAAGGTTGTCCTTAAGGGTTAACTACTCAAATCGGGGGTGGGGAGAGCATCCTTGGCCTACAGGAGTAGCTTCCTGACTAGAGGAGAGGGATGAAGAGTATCCAATAGATAGCCCCTTGGAAGACGAGAATGGTTGGTCAGACTTCGACGCAGCTTGGCTGAGACAGCTTCCAGACTGCCTCCGTCTTTCCACTTCCACACTCACTAAGCAACTTTCTCATTTCATTCCAGGGAAAGGGCATGCAGCATCCACGATCACAGAAAAGGGATCCGGCCACCACCTTATAAATGAATAAACAAGCAGTCTGTCTGGACAGTGTGACGCAGCAAATTTATCGTACCCGTGGGGTTTTACAAGTGTGACCAGCCACCGGGCAGCTCGCATCCTGGAGGGGAGCCAAGCTACAGAAAAGGCTTGGGTGTGGTAAGCGTGGAGATGGCAGCTGAAGCTGTGGGAGCTGACGAGATCACCAGGGAGGCTACGCCGAATGAGGAGAGGAAGGAAGGCTAAAGACAACTCTGGAGGCTGTCAATGCTTAAGGCACAGCAAAGAAAGCAGCTCCAACAGCCGGATGAAACGGGTCCAAGCAGGCAGGAGAGAAAGGCGAACAGAAAGCAAGACAGAGGGAGTTTCAGGAAGGACCTGATCAACAGGGCAAAGTACCACAGGGAGATCAGATAAGGAGTGCGCTAAATGTAGCAACGACTGGCGACCTTGGCAAATGGAGTGTAGAAGAGGGCTAAGTGCAGAAGCCAGAATGCAGGAGGCCCACTGAGGAAGCAATGCTAACGGTGGGCACTCACTTGAGTCATGTAGTTCTATATATTTAAAGACCTCTGAGTGTATTTTCAGAATGAAGAGAAACATACTGTAGGGGCCGGTGCTATGGCATGGTGGGTTAGGCATCTGCCTGTGGTGCCAGCATCCCATGTGGGCACCAGTTTGGGTTTTGGCTGCTCCGCTTCCTATCCAGTTCTGTGTTGATGGCCTGGGAAGGCAGTACAGGTTGGCCCAAGTCCTTGGGCCCCTGTGCCTGTGTGGGAGACCTGAGGAGGCTCCTGGCTTTGGATCTACCCAGCTCTGGCCTTTGCGGCCACTTACGGAGTGAACAAGCAGATGGAAGACCTCTCTCTCTGTCCCTTCCTCTCTTCTGTCTGTGATTCTGCCTCTCAAGTAAATAAAAAATAAATCTTTAAAAAAAAAAAAAGATGGGGCCGACGCTGTGGCATAGTGGGTAAAGCCGCAGCCTGCAGTGCCAGCATTATATATGGGCACCAGTTCAAGACCCGGCTGCTCCACTTCTGATCCAGCTCTCTGCTATGGCCTGGGAAAGCAGTGGAGGATGGCCCGAGTCCTTGGGCCCCTGCACCCACATGGGAGACCCAGAAGAAGCACCTGGATCCTGGCTTTGGATCGGCTCAGCTCTGGCTGGTGTAGCCATCTGAGGAGTGAACCAGCAGATGGAAGACCTCTCTCTCTCCTCTGCCTCTCTGTAATTCTTCCAAATAAATAAATAAATCTTAAAAAAAAAATAGTACAAAAAGGGAAAGGTTAAACACAGAGCAAAGGAAGGAGGGTAGAGATAAATGACGGACCGAAGTTTGGTATTCAGAAAACTTTTTAGTTTGGAGGTGGATGCAGCCAGATGACTGGAAAGCAAAGGAGCAGAGTTCTTCAATCCAAGGGGCAAGTCCTTAGATCTGATTTCCAGTTTACAAGAGTTACAGAGGAGAGAAAAAACATGAAGGCTGGAGAGGGTAGGGGCACCCAGCTAGCTCTAGTGCCTGCAAGTCAGTGAGGAGGACGGAAGAACGGGACTGAGGAAGGCAGGAAGGCAAGGGGAAGGAGGGAAGCTGTGACCAGAACCCACACAGCTCACAGTGATAAAGGACAGGGTGTGGGCACAGGGGTGGAGTCTGAGGCAGAATGGCAGGATGTGGAAGGAGCTGAGACCCTGTGGTGGGAATGTAAACTGGTGCAGCCACTGTGGAAGACAGTACGGAGATATCTCAGAGAGTGGAATACAGACCTACCATGTGACCCAGCCATCCCACTCCTGGGAATTTACCCAAATCAAAAGAAATCAGTGTATGAAAGAGTTATTTTACCCCCATGGTCATTGCACTTCAATTCACAATAGCTAAGATATGGAATCAACCCAAATGTCCATCAACTGAAGACTGGATAATGCAATTATAGGATATGTATACCATGGAATACTGTACAGCAGTTAAAAGAAAAGCCTGTCATTTGCAAGAAAATGGATGCAACTGGAAAACATTATACTTAATGAAATAACCCAGTCCTAAAAGGACAAATACCATATGTTCTCCCTGATCTGTGGTAACCAACAGAGTACCTAAAAGGTAATCTATAGAAGTGAAATTGGCACTTTGAGATGCAATGATTTTGAACAGCCCTTGTCTCGACTGTTGAGGAAATTTTTTTTAGTATTTGTTGAACTCTCTACTTAGTATAGAGTTAATTGTATGTGTATAAAGTTAATTGAAAATAGATCTTGGTAAAACATAAGACTGGGAATAGGAGAGGGAAGAAGAAGAAGGGTGGGAGGGAGTGTAGGGTGAAAAGAATCACTATGTTCCTAAATTTGTTATTCATGAAATGCATGAAGTTTATATACCTTAAATAAAAGGTTTCTGGCTTAAAAAAAAAATAAAGCCATATGCAGTACTGCAGTTTCTCAGGGTAAATGGTTTTAAAAGCAGCTCCTAAGGTGAAAATTTCATATAGCCCAAATTATCCTAGAACATGCCTTAGGAAAATGTCTTATCAGAGACCATTTGTCAGTTCTCATTAAGCCCAACATACAGCCAGATATCCTCACCGCCCGGGGGTAACTATGACCCCATCTGTAGTCAAGTATCAGATGAAGTAGCTGGGTTGTATTTAGGAGTCAAATTTTTAAATTTATTTATTTTCACTTTATTTGAAAGGCAGAGAGACAGAATTTCTATCTACTGGTTCACTTGCCAAATCTCACTATTGCTAGGGATGGGCCAAGCCAAAGCCAGGAGCTAAGAATTCAATCAGGGTCTCCCCACATGGGTGGCAGAGACCCAAGCACTTGAGCCATCACCTGCTGCTTCCCAAGGTGTGCATTAGCAGGAAGGTGGATTGCAAGTGGAGGAGCTGGGACTCAAACCAGGCACTCCGATATGGGATGTGGCAACTTAACTGCCACACCATATGCCTGCCCCAGGGGACAGTGTTTTATGAAAACTTATCTTTGGACACCAGAATTACACTTTATTTGTCGGATGCTCACTTAAGAAGGGAGGACAACTACAGAAAAGCAGATCCATGTCCCTTTAGGGCACAGGTCCAGGAGTAGGAAGGTCCCTTTGGGGCACAGGTTTAAGAACAGCACCATTTGCATTCTCTCTTCCCACTCTGCCTCTTGTACACGTGTACAGAATGTGTATCATGTGAATTTACATGATAGAGCCCTACAGCTATATTTATATAGTAGTTAAGTTTCTTTTTTTTTTTTTTGACAGGCAGAGTGGACAGTGAGAGAGAGAGAGAGAGAGAGAGAGAGAGAGAGAAAGGTCTTCCTTTGCTGTTGGTTCACCCTCCAATGCCCGCCGCGGCCAGTACCCTGCGGCCGGCGCACCGTGCTGATCCGAAGGCAGGAGTCAGGTACTTATCCTGGTCTCCCATGGGGTGCAGGGCCCAAGCACCTGAGCCATCCTCCACTGCACTTCCGGGCCACAGCAGAGAGCTGCACAGGAAGAGGGGCAACCAGGACAGAACCCGGTGTGCCGGTACTGCAAGGTGGAGGATTAGCCTAGTGAGCCATGGCACCGGCCAAAGTTTCTTTTTTTTTAAAAGATTTATTTATTTATTTAAAAGACAGAGTTATAGAGAGGCAGAGAGGCAGAGAGAGATCGATCCTCCATCCAATGATTCACTCCCCAATTGGTCACAACATACCTGCACCCAGGTATCCCACGTGGGTGCAGGGGCCCAAGGGCTTGGGCCATCCTCCACTGCTCTCCCAGGCCATAGCAGAGAGCTGGATTGGAAGTGGAGCAGCCGGGACTCGACCCGGCATCCATATAGGATGCTGGCAGTGCAGGCGGCAGCTCTACCTGGTACACCACAGTGCTGGCCCCAGTAGTTAAAATTTCTTTACCTAACTGCTCCCATCTAGACTATGGTAACAGGGACGATGTCTTTGTTGCTGCTTTTTTCTTGTTTTGTTTAGTTTCCAGAGTGTAATATACTGCTTGGCACAGGACAGATGTCACTAAATCCTTTATGAATGAATGAGTCCAACAGGCTCCCATATCCTGACTGAAACTTGGAAATCACCTTGTTACATGGTACTAAGTAGTAGTTCTGTTTGCAGATTAAAGTTTCACACAGCAGATTTTTCTCTGGGACTAGGTTAAGAACTTCAAGTAATTATTTGCTGATGATCTCCCATCCCATTTTCAGGGTCAAAGCCCTGCTTATAGCTCACCAGTAAGGAGCAATGGGACCTACACCCTTACTTGCTTATTCAGTGGAGGTGTCTTTTAACAATTATCTAAGCTCTTAGTTTCATAAAATATTTGTTCCTGAGAAAGTAATTAATTTACTTATTAAGATCTAACGTAACACTTTTTTTTCTTTTTTAAAGATTCATTAATTTATTTGAAAGGCAGAATCACAGACAGAGAGAGAGAAAGAGAGAGAGAGAGAGGTCTTCCATCTGCTGGTTCACTCCCCAAATGGCCACAATGGCTGCAGCTGCACTGATCCGAAGCCAGGAGCCAGGAGCTTCTTCCAGGTCTCCCACGTGGGTGCAGGGGCCCAAGCACTTGGGCCATCTTCTGCTGCTTTCCCAGGCCATAGCAGGGAGCCAGATCAGAAGTGAAGCAGCTGGGGCTCAAACCAGTGCCCATATGGGATGTTGGCAGGCAGAAGTTTAACCTACTATGCCATTGTGCTGGCCCCTAACTTAAAACATTTTAAAGAACAAAGTATGACAAAATCCTGGATTTCTGAGAAAGGATTTGAGGAAATATTTCAAAGGAATCACTTTTTGTGAGACTGGTCTATATTTTCCTATATTGTGCTACCTTCGTTTTTATATCAGTGTTAGGCTAGCACCTTAGAATGAGTTAAGCATACTTTTATGTGTACCAATCTATATATATATATATATTATTATGTAATACAGGAGTAAAAAGGGAACTCGAAACTTACCTTTACTGCATTGCCACCACCTTTGGGACCCTGAGCCTTTTTGTCCGCATTGTCACTCCCAGAAGCTGCTCCTCCTTGAGAGAAGAGATGACAGGTACTCATTTAAACTATACCTTGATATTTACAGAAAGGTCCAACACACAATATATGAGTTGATGTTTTCATCGCAGCACCAAGCTTCCAAAGGGAATTTTGCCAGTTTTCTACATCAGGCTAAATTAATCTCAGACTTCACCTCCCTTGCAACAGAAAATCCATGCCCTACATAAACCTTTCATGGAAAATATAAATACAAGTTAAGCGTGCCAATGGGCAAATGAGAGCCCTCTGGACCCAATTTCTTTTTCTTTTTTTTTTTTACAGGCAGAGTGGACAGTGAGAGAGAGACAGACAGAGAGAAAGGTCTTCCTTTTCTGTTGGTTCACCCCCCAGTGGCTGCTGTGCCAGACACACCGCGCTGATCCGATGGCAGGAGCCAGGTGCTTCTCCTGGTCTCCCATGGGGTGCAGGGCCCAAGCACTTGGGCCATCCTCCACTGCACTCCCTGGCCACAGCAGAGAGCTGGCCTGGAAGGGGGGCAACCGGGACAGAATCCGGTGTCCCGACCGGGACTAGAACCTGGTGTACTGGCGCCGCAGGTGGAGGATTAGCCAATTGAGCCACAGCGCCAGCCTGGACCCAATTTCAAATCTGGCCTTTTGAGGGCATACCTCTTTGCTCTTGTAAGATTACTCGTATATTCTAAAGCTATGTATTCAAGCACTCACAAAGTTTCTCACTACCAATATTGGCCTAAAGAACACACTCATGCCCAAATTCCTCAACTCTACTTCATTGGTTACTGATATTTTCCTAAGAAAAGTCACTGATATTCAGAATAATAATCACTGGCAATATTTGCTGGTGAATCAAATTACTACATTAACTTCATTGTCAACATCTGCATACATCCTACTACATGTTCCTAAGAACTATAGCTGGATTAAGTGTCCAGTTCAATAAGCATTTCCTAAAATATCATTAAAGTCCAAGTCTTCAATCTTGGTCAGGCTCTCAGCTCTGAGGGTAATCCTTTTATTTATTGCATTTCCTCTCCTGTTACCCTACTCCAGATGTTTACCACTCTTCTAAAGACTCTTATTGAGTCTCTGCTCTTCAGTCTTAAAAAAAAAAAAAAAAACCCTTTACTTCTATTAAGCAACTGAGGCCGGGGGCTTGAGCTGGGCACAGCAGGTTAAGCCACTGTCTGCAGTGCTGGCATCTCATATGGGTGCTGGTTCACTTCTTGGTGCTCCACTTCTGATCCAGCTCCCTGCTAATGCACCTGGGAAAGCAGAGGAAAATAGCCCAAGTCCTTGGGCTCCTACACTCACGTGGGAGACCCAGAAGCTCCTGGCTTCGGTCTGGCCCAGCTCTGGCTGTTGTTACCATTTGGGGATTGAACCAGCGGATGGAAGATAGAGCTCTCATATATATATAATATATATAACATATATAATATATATAATATATATAATATAATATATATAAACTCTGCCTTTCAAATAAAATAAATCTTATAAAAAGAAATTGAGGCCAGTAAACATGATCTCTTTAACTCCACTCTGTTCTCCTCTCTGCCCCAGTTTTTATAATCACACCCATCCTGTCTCTTTATGACATGAAACATGTCATGTCAACTGTTCCCCTCAGTCCTAGACCTCATTTTCTCCTAAGTCTCACTCCTCTGTTATTCTACTGGATCGTTCACCTCAGCCTTACTCCCAAGTTTCCCCATGCCAAAGAAACAAAAGAAAACTTTCTGTTGATTCTTTATCCTCTATCTATCATCCTATTTCCATACCTTTTCAGTGACAGCTTTCCAGGGATGTGTATACTGATTATCTCCAACTTCAGCACTTCCCTGTCAGCCCCTAGTCCCTGCCATCTGGCTTCCGCCTTTCTCACTCCATGAAAACCACTCTCGCCTAAGGCCACCTCTAATTCCCAAATCCAACAGTACTGTTCTTAGTCTTCATCTTATTCGGCCACTTTGCTGTGCTTCATTGATTTTCAAACAGTTTTTCAAAACTTTCTGGTCTCTCCAGACTCTGGAGTATTTTTTTTTCTCTCCCAGTGACTACCTTAATTCTGGTCATCACTGCCTCTCACCAGGATTACTCCAACAATCTCCCTTACAGGTCTTCCTGACTCTTAACCAAGCTTTATAGCATCATACCAGGGTACCTCGGGGTTTTGGCTGCTGGAGCCTCTATCAGGAATGCTTTGTCCTACCTCTCATGCTAACCTTGGCCTGCCTAACTCATGTCCAGTAGTCTTCCCTTTTCTGTTGCGGCTAGATGGAGCACTTTCTCAGTTCCTACAACATCCACACATCTCTCCACATCGACCTTAGTATAATGCTTTCTATCTTCCTCACTACTTCCGTAGGCTGTGCCTTGCTTTATTTCCCCAGAACTAAGCACTGTGCCTACCACACATATTTCTGCTCCCTGGATGAACAAGTCTTTTCCAAATGTTGGCATGTCATTCTGTAAGCATTAAGTGGAATCTTAAGAACCATTACCAATGTGAATTTCTTTTTACCGTCGGCCTTTGATAACATTTAAATGTCACGGCTCTAATAACCTTGAAATCGCAGCCCCAAGTCACGGTCTCCGAGGACCTACCCCTACTACCCTCTACCACCCAGCAACTGTATCCCAATATATTCCAACAACTCCAGCAGCCCCTCGCGCACTTAGGTTTTCTTAGCCTTAGCGGAGAAACCCCAGATAAACTCGACGCAGCTAAGTGAGGCCACCGGCCATCTGCTGCCTCCGTCTCGGACCCCGGAAATTGCCTGTTTCCTCCCTTCTCACCCCCTCCCATTCTCCCGGATTACTCTGGCCCTTCTACCTTTCCCCCCTTTTCCGGAACCACTTTTTCCTTTGGGTGGCATCTTGGAAACTTGATCGTACGCTCAAGTACCGGTAGCTGTACAAAGCCCCTTCAGGCCCCCACGGACATGCCGTAGACAGTGCCTGAAAGCGGCATCACAATTGACCGTTTAAATCAAGGCTCCGGAAGCAGGCACAGCTTGGGGCAGACCCAATCCTTTGCCACTCGGACCAATGGGGCTGAGAATGCCTGACCAATAAGAAGCTTGGGGCCTTGGTAAAGGGCCGGAGACAAGTTTGGTTGTGGCGAAAAACCCCGCCTCTGAGCTTTTTGTTTCTTCTTTCACACGAGGTTATCTGCACCAACACTCCTGCTGCCCCTCCCCGAGCCACTTCCTCCACGCATGCGCACTGGGAACCAGGTGGGGGGGCCTCTGCAGTCCCTCGGCACCGGTCTGGCCAATCCCGTGGGGCCACCAGACAAAGGGAGCACAGGAAGATCCATGGTAACGGCCCCCCCCCCTTTGCCTTCTCCTCCTACACACGGGCCTGCTTTCCCTGGCGGCTTTTAGGTTTTTAATCTTATTTGCAGCTTTAGCTGATTGAATTCAAAAGGTCGCTTTAAAAAAATCCTATTCCCCTCCTCTGGCTCTTGAAGAAGTCTGTAATGTAGAAACACTGAAAGCCATTTAAATGCACCTCAGCAGGGTACTGTTTAAGTAAGCACTGTTTCAATCACATGAAAGGATGTTAGGCGCTGTATAAAATAACGATGGGGAGATTTTGTGTACAGATAGGGAAATGGTCTTAAGGAAGATTACAGACCAAGATACAAAATATGACCTTTTTTTTTAAAAAAGTATATACAGTGTACTATGTAAGCATATAAAGAACAGGAAGGCTATACAGCAAAGAGACCAGTAGTTCTTTCTAGTACAAATAGGTGGTTGTGTATGTTTCTGTGTATTTTCCAAAGTCTCCCTAATGGTGCAGCATAGTGTAGTTAATAAGCATGAATCCTGGAATCAGATTGCCTGGTTTCAAATGCCTGCTCCACCATCTTGTCTGCTATCTTTGCTGCCTTGGGAAAATTACCTCACCCCTCTTGGGCTCGGTTTCATCATCTGTGAAATGGGGTTGATGATAACAGTAGATACTTACAGGGTGTTAAGAAAATTAAGATCATATTTGTAAAGCTCATAAAACAATGGTTAGCTAATACTATTAGCCTATGACAAATAATTTGTTTAAAGTATTTAAGAGGCCGAGAGAGAGAGAGAGAGAGAGAGCGCTCTTATTTGCTGGCTCTCTCCTCAATGCCTGCAATGGCTGGGACTGGACCAGGTGGAAGCCACGAGCCAGTAACTCAATCCGGGTCTCCCACATGGGTGGCAGGGACCCAAATACCTGAGCCATCACCTGCTGCCTTCCGGAGTGTTCATTAGCAGGAAGCTGTCATGGACAGTGGAGTCGAGACTCAAACGCAGCAGGCACTCCAATACCAGATGCAGCTGTCCCAAACCCTCTTAACCATTAGGCCCAAAGCCTGCTCCGAGATGAATGCTTTTGAATTTATGCCCCCACAGTTTTTCTCCTCTCATCCTCAATCCCTCTTGTCCTCACCACTAATTTGTCTATGATGTCAGGGCTTTCCCTCCCCTCCATGAGAGAGTTGTCCCAGCTTGATGCTACCAGCCAGAATAGATGAGGGTATGCCAAAAAGTTTATGGAAAATGAAATTAAAAGACATATTTATGCTGTCACAAAAAATTTAAAAGCCTTGTATTTTTTTTTAAAGATTTTATTTATTTGAGAGCTAGAGTTACAGTCAGTGAGAGGCAGAGAGAGAGAGAGGTCTTCCTTCAGTTGGTCCACTCCCCAGATGGCTGCAACGGCCAGAGCTGCGCTGATCTGAAGCCAGGAGCCGGGAGCTTCTTCCTGGTCTCCCATGCAGGTGCAGGGGCTCAAGTACTTGGACCATCTTCTACTGCTTTCCCAGGCCACAGCAGAGAGCTGGATGGAAAGAGGAGCAGTTGGGACTCGAACCGGCGTCCATATGGGATGCTGGTGCTGCAGGCGGAGGATTAACCTACTGCGCCCCGGCACTGGCCCTCATATTTTTTTTTCTTACTATGCGTTTTCCAGAAATTTTTTGAAGACCCTGCCTATAGATCCTCCAGCTATGAGTTTAGCTTTGGATACAGACTTGCTGGACTTAGACATGCTTTGTGCCCAAACCAGAAGTAAGGTATTTCTGATATTTTGTCCATTCCCTAACTCAGACATACCATGAAACCTCTCTGTGTTGTGCTATGTGGCTTCTGAACACATCTTGGGCTGTCCTTGTTTTGGGTTGAGAGTGATCAATTCTAGAGAATGTATCCAGTGCCAAGGGGATTATTGCTCCTCACTTCTTTAATATTTATTTTATTTATTTGAAAGAATTACACACAGAGAGAAGGAGAGGCAGAGAGAGAGAGAGAGAGAGAGAGAGAGAGAGAGAGAGAGATCTTCCATCCACTGGTTCACTCCCCAATTGGCCACAATGACCAGAGCTGTGCCAATCCGAAGCCAGGAGTCAGGAGCTTCTTCCAGGTCTCCCACGTGGGTGCAGTGGCCTAAGGACTTGGGCCATCCTCTACTGCTTTCCCAGGCCACAGCAGAGAGCTGGATCAGAAGAGGAGCAGCCGGGACTAGAACCAGCGCCCATATGGGATGCTGGTACTGCGGGCGGTGGCTTTACCTGCTATGCCACAGCGCTGGCCCTGCTCCCCCACTTCTGAAGTGAATCCTGCCCCTCTACCGACTCTCCAAGTCCAGTCAGGAGATTGGGTTAACTATGACAGTGTGGCCTCATGTTCACGGCCAGGAGGCCCAGGAGTCTCCTTTACTTCTGATTTTCCATTGGAAAGAGTTTTTCTTGTAATCACTGGTTATGTCAGTTTGCAGAGTAGGAATGAAGCAAACTAGAGTTTAGATTCCCCCCCAAAGAACCAGTGTGAGTGACTGATGTGTCTGGCACATTCTTGGTGCCTGGAACACCGGAGAACTCCACATATTCAAACAGATAAAGGAAGCACCAATGATAACAAGTAAGCCTGCTTTACGTGACTGACTAGATCCAAAGCTGTGCCTCAAGGCCAGTGACTCCAGGGAGAAAAGGATAGGTGTGAGTCTGCGGGGTTTTCAAGGTCAAAAGCATTTAAAGATAGTCAAATACAAAATCAGGTTCTATCTGGGGCTGGTGTTGTGGCACACAGAGGGTTAAGCCATGGCTTGCCATGCCAGTATCCCATATCAGAGTGCTTGCTTGAGTCTCTGCTGCTCCATTTCTGATCCAGTTCCCTGCTAATGTGCCTGGGTTCCTGGGAAGGCAGTAGATGATGACCCACGTACTGGGGCCCCTACCACTCCCGTGGGAGACCAGGATGGAGTTCCAGGCTCCTGGATTCTGGCTGGCCCAGACCTGACTGTTAAATTTATTTGGGAGGAGTGAACCACCAGGTAGAAGATTTCTGTTTCTCTCCCCCCCCCCCCGCCCTTTCCTTAAAGCAACAAATAAGTCTTTAAAAAAACATCTACTATCTCAAGTACATGGTGTGCATCACAAAGAGAGGGAGCGGTTGTTTGTCCTGACTTGAACATAACACGTTGTATACATGGATTGAATCATCAGGTGGTATTACAGAAATCTGTACAAATGTTATGTGTCAGTTAAACATAAAGGATGGGATGGGGAATATTATAACATTTTAAGTGTTATTTCTGGAATGTGAGTTTATCTTTTATTCTCTTCTGCTTATGTTATATTCTGTGATATCACTTGGCATGTGTATTTTGTTATTCATAAAAAAAAGCAACAAATGTTATTTGAACAAGCAACAACAACAAAAAGCCAGCTTCTGTATAGGGTTAAGTCTGCACCAGCCTGGGGAGGCAGATTGCAGAGGAGTCTGTGAAGGAGTGACAAATTAACTGGAGAGGGCAGGGGGAGCAGAGAGGAGAAAATTCAGCCTTGAAACCATGGTAACGGCTGCTGGAGTGTGCACAGTGACTCAGAGCTAGTAATGGCTGCTTTCTTTTCCGCTAATTACTGCCTCAGATGGATCTTCCGCACACTGCTTACACAAGGTAAATCAGGAGGGAAGCGGGCAGCCCTCTCCCCAGGACCGACGTGCCAACCTTGGCCCACACTCACTGCCCGTCCCCACCTGCTCCACCACCAAAGCAATACAGCTCCTTTCCTACTTGAGATCTCGACAGAGCTTATTCTGAAAACCCTGGAACAACAAAATACAGAGATCTAGTTGCTCCCCAAACCAGGTGATCACTGTAGGGAGCTCAGGGCCCCAGACCCTGGAGGCAAGGGGAGAAAAAAAGATCACCTTTGGAAACTGAATCCAGGGGAAAAAATCAGTACACAGTGGATGAGATCAGCCGCCTGTGAAAACAGCTGCCCATCATAGCGAATGGGTGCAGATATATTGCTGATCAGGCTGTGTGTCTCCCTGACTGCGGCCAGTGCTGAAGATTTTTCTAGTGACTGGTGTTTTAAAAAGGGCTTCAGGGAAGAAGACTCTGTCTATATTTGTCCAGCATTGTCCAAGCAAAAGAATCAGTTTCTGGAAGACATTACTATTCCACTCTCTGGTGAGGTGGATTGTTCTCAGAGGCAGTGACAAACAACTCTCACACACAACATACATCCTATAAGCCACGAGCCTTCCCTTCATGATCTCTTTTAATTTCCACAAGGGTCTTGTTTTCAAAATGGCACCATTACCATTTCAGGGCTGTAGAAACCGGCTCAGAGAAGTTGAGAAATGTGCCTCAGATGTCACAGCAGCTAGGGTCATTGATGGGGCTGGGCTCAGAACTCAGATCTCTCTCACTTCCCCACTGGTACCCTTTCTATGATACCAGGCTGCTGCAGGCTTTGACATCCTCTGAATGAAATCCAAGCATACTCAGTTCCCTTTGTTCTCAGTCTGTGTTCACCAAGGCAGCTTTACAGGGACCATGAGGTCTCCAGGGGACACTCTGTGCCAGAGGCACCTGGGTCTTGTGCCCCCAGCATGGGACGTAAGTAAGTTAGTTAGCCTTAGGCTTATCATCAATGTTTTGGTTATGAGTAACGTGGAACATGTTTACTTCGGTCTGTTGTGCTGGACCTCTCAGTCCACAAAAGCACAGAGGCAAGGAGAAGGAGCAGGGCATGGCTAGGGGACACTAAGCAAGAACACTGTCGCTGACGCAGAGGGGAGATGCTGGGGAAGAGGTCTTCGGCATCATCATCCTTGGGAACTGGTCCCCATGTCCAGTGCATGCTGC